CCCCCCCCCCCGCGGCGCCCCCCCCCCCCCCCCCCCGCCGCCATTTTGTCCCTGCTAAGGCGCCACCGAGTGGCGTCGCTCTCACTAGGCAACCGGACCCACCCCCGGAGGGAGGGGCAGCGTGGCCTGACCTTCCTACGTCAGATTCCTGCTCCCCCGTGGCGGAGGGGTTCATTGTGGTGTCTCCTCTGCCCCAGTAGGGGCGGGCCCAGGCTCTGCGCTTTAGGGGGCACCCTGGTGAGCCTTCCTGTGACCCCAACTGCCACCGCCTCCCACAGCGGCTTTTGTCTTTTCCCTGCCCGCGCTGCCTGGCGTGGAAGGCAGAATTCAAAGCCGGGCAGCGCCCACTGCCCCGCCAAGGGCTGCCTCACCCTAGCACCCCCCTTCGGGAGCCCAGCCCGCTGGGCGAGGCACTGTAGGGCGCTCCCTTCCCTGCAGGCTTAGTCCGCTTGTCAGGGTGTGACCAGCACCCAAACCCTATAGGGCGGGGGGTCAGGTGACAAAAGGAACAGAATTTAGGGGGGGGGAGCAGGACTGGTGACAGACTTGCTGGGCCCTGGGCACTGTGGGAGGGGCTCAGCTCCGGGGCAGCCCCTGGAAGGGGCAGGGCTTTAGGGGGAAGGAGCCAGGCTAGGGGCAGCCAGTTCTTAGTGCTTTCTGCACCACATCAGGCCTTCCCCAGCCAGCCCTCAGCTCCCTGTAGACTGCACCCTGTGGGAGGCTAGCAGCCCAGAACCCCAGTCTCTTTTAAATTGCTGGGCCCCAAAGCAACTGCCCCCTGTTGCACCCCCATTGGTGCCTTTGGGGGAAAGTGATGGCTTGTCTAGGTTTCCCAACAACTATTCTGGGAGATTTTTTCACCCACTATGGTGTAATGTCATTTTCTTAAAATATTCTGTTAAAATCTCCGGGATTGCTTTCAATGGTCACCAGGAGATTGATACCAATTCTGGGAGACTCTGGGCCAAGTCTGGAGGGTTGGCAACCCAAAGCTTGTCACTTGCCTCACCACTGCCAGATGGTAATGATTTGTCATGACAGGGAAAGGTTTTAAGGCCAGGATGTATTTAGAACTTTTGACAAGGAGTATTTCCAGAATGTGAGAGATGACATGGGAGAAAATGTGAAGGTGGACAAGAAAGAAGTGGAAGAAGGCAAGCAATTAAGGCTGCTGTCAGTGGCAGAATAAAGGCAGGGGGAAATTATTTGGAAAGTTAATTGTCACAAGGAATGTTAAAGACAAAGATAAAGGGCTTGTATTTGATGCAGTGAAGGACAGGGAACTAGTGGAGAGACTCAGAGAGGATGAGAATGTTGTAAAGACCCCTAGATAAGGATATGAAGAAGTCACTCAAGACGAGAGCATTTTCAGTGCTCGAGATGTGATTAGGGTGGACAAAATTTTAAATGAAAATCCTGGACATCTGTTTGGGGTTGTACATGAGTTCAGTGGGAGTCATGAAGGTGCATTTAGACCTACACTACAGACTTCTACCATCAAAGCTACATCAGTAAAGAAGGTGTGATCCATGACTGACATAGCTATGCCATCAAAAGATACTAGTATAGATACAGTTATAATGGCAAAATTGCATTTTTACCAGTATAGCCTATTGTGCACATGGGGCTTATCCCATGGCCATGTAATTTACACAAGAGCCTTTGGTGAGGGAACTTGTCAAAGGCTTTCTGAAAATCCAAGTATACTATATCTACTGGATCTCCCTTCTCCGCATGTTTGTAAACCTCTTCAAAGAACTCTAATAAATTAGTAAGACGTGATTTCCCTTTACAGAAACCATGTTGACTTTTGTCCAACAAATTATGTTCTTCTACGTACCTCACAATTTTATTGTTTCGACTAATTTGCGCGGTACTGAAGTTAGACTTACCGGTCTGTAATTGCCAGGATCGCCTCTAGAGCCTTTTTTAAATATTGGTGTCATGTTGGCTCCCTTCCAGTCATTAGGTACGGAAGCCGATTTAAAGAATAGGTTACAAACCACAGAAATAGTTCAGCAATTTCCCATTTGAGTTCTTTTAGAACCCTTGGATGAATGCCATCCGGTCCCGGAGATTTGTTAACATTAAGTTTTTCTATTTGTTCCAAAACCTCCTCTAATGACACTTCAATCCGGGACAGTTCCTCAGATTCATCACCCACAAAGGACGGTGCAGATTTGGGAATCTCCCTAATGTCCTCAGCCGTGAAGACTGAAGCAAAGAAATCATTTAGTTTATCCGCAATGTCTTTATCGTCCTTGATTGCTCCTTTTATATCTCGATCGTCTAGGGGACTCACAGGCTTTTTAGCAGGCTTCCTGCTTCTATTGCTCCCAGTCACACATCTGATGAGTTCATATTTTTTATCATGCTGCAAGTGGGTTAAGGCAATTGGGCGCGATCTGTGGTGACCACTCTGAAGCAGGAATCCTCTTTGCATATCTCCATAAAGCTCTCATAGAGGTACTCTTTCATCCATTGCTCATCCCCAACAAAGCACTGATTGGGCCCCTGCCCAGCCATCATACGTGGGCATCCTCCCTCATCCAGGCTCGTGCAGGAAGGAAAAGTTGCACTCTCCTGGCAAATAGGAGGTGCTAGATACACAATCACTGTGTGAGCCTCTGTCCTGCCACCATGGACCTCCTTTGCAAATGCAGACACTTGCCTAGTGTCACGTTACTGGAATTTGAGGGAAGCAGTCAAATCATGGCTGCACCCATAGGTGGGGGAGCTGGCCCCAAAAATGATATAAAAGGGGGCCATGTGGGGTGTTGAATGGGAGCTTACTGTTTGCTAATCCTGTGTACACTATTTATGTGAGTGTATAGTGTCTGTGTGTATAGGTAGGAATCTGTAATCTGTGTGGAAGCCGAATATTTCTCTGAATGTGGTTGAGCATTGGGCAGAGCCTGGCCCTAACTGGGCAGAGCCTGGCCCTAATTAGTGAGGCCCTATGGGACAATGGCACTCAATGGGCCAAGGACACACCTAAAGCATGAGGGCGGAGACCTAAGAGCTGCCAGGAGAGAGAGGCTGAGGGCCAGGTGACCGGCTTCAGCCAAGAAGAGGCCAGAAAGGAGGTATAAAGAGGCCATGTGGGGGACTCCATTTTGTTCTCAGCTCAGCACTTCATCCCAGAGGCAGCATTGCAGGGATCGAAGAGCCCAGAAGACCTGTGAACCCATCCTGATCCTAGGATGGGCAACAAGAACTTTTAAGCCAGCAGCTGTAACATCTCTGCTAGAGCCTGCATCGAGAACTGGGAGATTCGATGCATGTAATGTACTATCCTTTAACAACCTTACTCTCATGCTTTTCTTTCTTGTGATAATAAACCTTTAGTTGTTAGATGCTAAAGGATTGGCCCAGCGTGATTTGTGGGTAAGGTCCTGAGGGTAAATTGACCAGGGATCTGTGGCTGGTTTCTTGGAACCGGACAGAACTTGTTTGGGGTAGGTGGGATTGGGTGCTAGGACCCCCCACCTGTGTATGAGGCCCGGGGCCATCTGAGGCACGGATATTGCTGGGGTGTCGGAGGGGTTTTGCTCGTGAGGCTTCAGGCAGGCAGCTGAAGCGCTCTGTGGGACTGGTTTGTGGCCTGTTCTGAGAGGTCACCAGTCTGGGGGCTGTAAGGAGCCCCGGATTTGAGCAATTTGCCCTGAGCGGACGCCCTCAGCTGTGCCCGGACATGGCCCGGTCTGTCACACCTAGTCATGGGAGCTGCCACCAAACTGAGTCCAGCTGCTCCCAGGTCTCCATGATGTACCTGCTACATAGTGGGTGCTTAAAAGCATAATGTTGACCTTGTACATAAACATCTGTTTTCTTGCACAGATGTGCCTCTATGCTAAGAGATTAGGTTCTGTGTTCCACAGTGTATCCCCTCTAAAATCTGCCCTTAACTTTTTGTTAGAGGGTGCAACAGCGAGCGTGCTGCACACTCCCCCAGCTATGGCTCCTCCAGCAGTTCATCTAGCACAGATCCAAAGGCAAAAACATAGTAAGGATGACATATTGAATGAGCAAATGTAACCTGCCTGCTTGGACAGGGAGTGATTGAGTGCAGGAAAACGCTGTTGCAGGAGATGCAAGCAGAACATGAGGACAAAGGTGAGCAGGGAATGTGAAGTGAACACACAGGTGAATGTCTTGACAGTCATGGCAGAGCTGATGATGCTCATGATGGACTTGTGGGACATCCAGTTGCACGGGCACTCCCTCCAGCCTGTGTCCTCACCAAATTCTATAGCTTCCTTTTCCAGGGACCCTAGAATGTGGAGGGAGAAGTCAAGGGCAGCTGTACACTCAATCCCAAGGAATGTGTCCCAGAACAAAAGGCTGAGATCGAGGCGAGTTAATAAATTGTGAAACTTTCCCTTTAAATGTTCAAAAGCACACCACAGTTAGCCCTCAGCAATGTCCTGCACATTTCCCAGAGTCACCATCTCCATAGCAGAAGGGTATTGATTGCTTTGGCTATTTGGATCACAGCAGCCCCCACTGATCACTAGGAGGTACCACCAGTCTGTGCTTGTCTGACAGCACCAGAAACTGGCGTTCCACTGTGTCCATAGGATCAAATGCCACCATCATCTGACAGTTACTCATCTCAAGTGATTCATAGCCTTCTCAGATTGTTCCTTATTCTGGCAAGCCTTAGATAGGCTCTGGACACACTGTAGCATAAGGTGCAAGATAGTTGCTATGATTGCCATATTACTCTGCTGCTGAATGGATTCCATGCTTTGGTGTCTGCTGCCCTATCATGGTGTCTGCAAGGATATCCAGAGAAAAAAGGATATAAAAATTGTTTGCCATTGCTTTCAAGCGGTAGGGGATGGGAGGGGGGAGAGATTACTGCATTATGGGACATTGACAACATGTACCTAGGACCACCCGCTGCACTGTTTTGTTTCAATCAGGCACTGGGCACATAACCCAGAATGCAAAGGGGTAACAGAAACTGAGATAGCTACCCACATTGTATCACTGTCAAAGTTGACGGTAGCCAGTGCTACCCTACTGGGATGCACTGTGTCAAACTCTTGCATGCTATAGGGACATGCACCTTCAACTTTACAAAATCGTGTGCTAAAATATCAACCTTAATAAATTTGACTTTATCTCGTAGTGTAGACAAGGCCTGTATTATCATAGCCAGGGGCCCCTGGCTCAGATGGGGAGGGGGGCAGCTCCATGCTCCTGGAGGGGGCAGGGCTGGGACTAGCCTCTCCCACCACCAGCCCTACAGTGCTGCCCCACACTGCTCAGAGCTCTGGAACATGCTGTGTTGGGCTCTGGTGGTGATTTAAAGGTCCCAGGGCTCCAGCTGCCACTGCTGCTGCAATAGCAGCAGCCATGTCCAGGAGTCCCAGGCCCTTTTGAATCTCCAGGATCTGGGGCAGTTGCCCCCTTTGTACTCACCTGTCAGTGGGCCTGCTCATAGCTTTTCCAGTCCTACCTTGTTTTCTGCTTTTCTTCTCTAACATCT